ATAAATAACGAATAGCAAATATTTTTATTTTAAGTGACATTATTTATATTTATCCTTCCTTTATATAAAAGATACAATTTATAATATAATTGAAAAAATTAAATATTAAATAATTATATTTTCGTCAAAATTAGCCGACTTAAAAATTTTATTTATTTATTTGTTTTCTTTTTTGTTCTTTTTTCTTTTTTTTTTTTTCTTACGAGATAGCCACACAAGATAAGAAGGAAATATTTTCGTTTTGTTTTTTAAGAAGATGATTTAACTTTCGACACTTTAGCAAGGTACGTTAGTTATGGCTGACGGAAGTGACGAAGAGGGTGGTAACCGTTTGATCTTTTGGCCGGTCCGACGAATCCTTTGTGAATTGTATCTGCTTCCTTTCCACTTCTTCTCTTTTTCTCTCTCTCTCTCTTTCTCTTTCTCTTTTATTCTCGAAAGGAGAATTTCCCTTCTTCTTTTGCAGATTTAATGTTGCTTATTGTAGAACGTCGACTCCTTTTACCTCGTTTCTCGACTCCTTTTACGTATCCCGAATGCAACGATCTAGCAATTATACTCACGAGCGATTGGTATAGAAAAATCGTGTCAAAGGGAACGATCCTTATTTTTTTTTTCCTCTTTCTCTCTCTTTCTCTCTCTCTCTCTTTCTCTCTCTGTCTCCCTCTCCCTCTCCCTCTCTTAGTCTTAAGAATTAAACGTATCAAATTTGATCGTATTTATTAATTTTGTTAATTTGTATCAATATAAATAAATATACAAATTATGAAATCGTCAAAAAAATCTCTAACTATCATATTAATATTATTTTATCACGTTAATGCTATTTTTAAATGGATTTTCGAGTATGAAGGGAGGAGAGAAACACCTAAATACCTGAATGAGATTAGGAAAGAGATGGGTAGATAAATGGAGAGACTAATAGACATCCGGATCAACGTTAATTAGTTTGTATGAAGCATACCACCATTAGAACTTTCTTATTGATAATTAAGCTCATTAGAGATCCATTTATCTTTGGCTTCTATAATCATAATACAATAAATACATTTGAATATCCACCTATGTGTTTATGATATATCATGTATCAAATACATATCTGTTCATATATGTGTATATAAATGTATATATGTATTTATGTATTTATATGTATATATACAGCTCTAAATATCATTGAGAATTGCTTTAATGCGCTTGATTATACATTGTGCATTAGTTCCGTGCAAATTAGTATTACAGCAAGAAGGCATATTGGCTGTTGAGATTAAGCGGAACATGTGTACGATTTGATAAATTTACAAACATTTTGTAGAAAATCCAAACCAATTAGACCATTTTTTAAATGTCCAAGGATAATAATAAATATTTGATAATCTTATCGATGATGATGATGATGATGACTAGTCAATTCGTCGTGATGTTTTAAAAATTCAATTTAAGTTAGAGATACATCATTTTTAATGAAAAAAATTTGTTAATTATCAAAAATTCAAGCTTGAAAAGTACTTAAATTGTATTTATTTATTGTTATTACAATAAAATATTATCGTTTATATGATAAATTATGATATAGTTCCTCCCTCAGAAGGTTAACTACGGTAGAGAGCTTTAGGACGAAAAGAATTTTGATCTCTCTTTCAGTTTTAGAATCGGTGCGTTATCCATGATTATTATACCGGCGGTAGAGTTTGTATGAAAAAGTTTGTTCTAACTTTAACAGAGTGTGACATTTTTTTGTTTTAACCTATTCCAAAATTCATGCGCTCCATAGGATGGATGGATAGATGGATGGATACCTAACGGCTGTGTCCCGTTACAGGTATAATACCAAAACTTTGTTACGTGTCCTGACAGAGAGCAGTCAAGTAGTGGCCCCTATATGCGACGGTTTATTTGCATTATAAAGCACGCTATACGCTCTGGTATGGCATCGCATCTACTATGATCTTGTGCCATTCGCTTGGTGAGCTTTGTGCGGCCAAATAAACCGAGAGAGATTTAATCATCGCCGGATGGCTCTTCAAAGTCACCACCCTCCTTGTATCTTCATTATTCTCCTCTTTTTACCTTGTTGTTCATAAAGTTAACCTGACTTTCTCTCTCTCTCTCTCTCTCTCTCTCTCTCTCTTTCTCATTCTCATTCCTAGTCTATAGGAACTATGTATATTTTTATTTATATACACATATACGTTCATTTTACTCTTTAATCGGACCTCACGTTTCAAACACCTTTCTACAAAATTTCTTCTCTCTTCTTTTTTTGTCCCCCCCCCCGACACCCATCATTTTTCATTTATAATAATTTTTTTTGTTTTTCTCATTGTTTCATTTTTAACAGGAAATGGGTATTGACGAGTTTGTCTATTGTTAAATTAATTTCTACAATTATTGCAATTATACTTAAAGGACTGAATTTTCTGATTTTTGTTAGTAATAAGAGGATAATATTTATTTATTTTTAATTTTACTTATTTATTGCAATTAAAGATAAGAAAATATTATTATATTTATTTTAATACTAACAGGATTTGTATTTTCTTATTATAGAATTTAATGACAATTGTATTCTTATCTTTGTATTATCTGTAGTGGAAATTGATTTTCCTTTTTTCTTTTGGACATCGGCGAATTTTGATTTTGTCGCATTGTAGTAACAAAAATTGCCAAGTAGAATATTAAGGTACTGCATTCAGTTAACATTGGTATAAATTTGAGTATTTGTTAAATTAAATGTCTGATTTTAACAAACCGTGTTTACAATGAAAAAATTTAATCCCATCAAATTTTTATTTTTTAAAAAAACAATGACATGAGTAATTTGGTTATGGTATAAGAGGAATTTTAGTAGACGTATATATAGGATGCCCTTAAATTCTGGACGCATATAAAATCTCATTAAGGTGTTCACATTTTAGGGATACCTTATATAAACAAATATCCAAATAGAAAAATGTCAATAATAATTTGAACTGGTAAATGTAGACTAAATGTATTGTTAGTATAACGGAAGCTTATGGTGAGCAATTATAGATGTTCGAAAAGGTGTTTCAACATATCTTTAGAAAGGAAAAAACGTTAAAGATTCTATGATGGATGTTATTATTCATATACCCTATTTACATATACATATAAGAGAAGATAGTGTGAATAACGGTGAACAGAAGCCTAGATCTTAAGATTATTCGGAGACCATAGAAAAGATTTAAGGAAAAAGATCAGCAAAGTGGATTACTTAGGACAAGATGGTTATTGTAGTTTTAGGTTAGAAAGTAGATAAAAAAGAATTATTTTGTTGAACTATTTTGATGAACCTATTTTTCAAAAGGATAACGAGGATTAAACGAATTATAGGATTAGTCTAAAGAAAAGTAAATCTTTGAATTAGTACAACCTTGTTACTTAAATAATTATATTTTTTTTTTTTCTTTCCCCTTCAATTTGCGTATGCCAGTAGCATTTAGATAGGATTAACCGTTATGCTTCATTTTACTTACACTTAATTGAACACATCCGACACTCAAATAATAGGATTTTCCTACTTTTAAACTAAAATCTAACATAAGCGAAATTTCAAAGAAGAGATAAAACAAATGCGACAAAAATGATGAGATGATAGATAAATTTTATTAGCTATTATGGGGAAACTCGTATAATAAATTTATACTTAATCGAACGATATATATATCCTAATCTCGACAGCTGCCAGATATCGAATCCGTGAAGAGCACGTGTCCCGTAGGTAATGTGATGCGAATCACACACACACACACACACTTGCAGTATAACAAAATATTTATCTCCTTCGATCATTGTGTTAAAATCCTATAAAACAATACAATTCGGCAATCATTTTAAACAAAAGAATTAAAAATTCAAAAATTCCTAAAGACGAGTAAATAACGTTGAGAGATCTATCGAAGGACAAATAAATATTACGAGAAAAGGAAAGAAGAAAAAAAAGAGGGAAGAGGGGGGGGGAGAGAGAGAAGAACAGATAGTCTCGCAAAGGAGAAAGGTGAGGACGACGAAACAGATATCCGATTCATTGGTAGACACTACTTCGATCGGAGTAAGAATAGAATGGGCGATGATCCTCGAGAAACGAAATTCTCCTAGAGCAGATATCGTGGCGAATTATCGTCGATCACCGAAATTTAGCTTGTTGTCGATCGGTGAAGTATCATTTGAAGAGTTAAAAAGAGACAGTAGGCACACGCGCGCGCGCGCGCGCGCGTGTGTGTGTGTGTGTGAATTATACGAAAGTTAAAGAAAGATGAATATATACGTATAGAAGAAATAAGAAGAAGAAGAAAGAAGAGAGAAAATGTTGTGGGAGGATCGAAGATAGAAAAGGAAAGAAAGATGGTGACTGGTGTATGTAGAAGAGAGAAAAAGGATTTTCCAGGTAGGAAGAGAAGAAGGGGAAAAGTGGTAGAGAGAGAGAGAGAGAGAGAGAGAGAGAGAGAAAGAGCAAGAGGAGGAGGAAGTGGAGAGGGTAGGAGAAGGTAGAAAAAATCCGGGGATTTACGCGGAAAGGGCAAAATATTCCCCGCCCAGGCCTCATTCAACCCCCGACAACGGGGTGGCTTTGGGTGAAAAGCGCGCACCCTCATTGGCCGAGGGGCTAATATGGCGGTGTTAGGGGTTGCGAGGTGGGGCGGGTGTACGCGATATTAAGGGCTGCTTTCATGTCCGACGAGCCAGTTGGTGGTGCGCCGTCGATTGACGCATTTTCTTTGGAAGGTGGAGAGTCGCGTCGAGCATCGGGACGGATGTTTCACTCTCTTTCTATCGCTCTCTATCATACGATAATATTTTCTATCTATTTCTTTACCTTTTTCAATCCTTTTCATAAGTTATTTTCCATCAGTCTATTCCTATTGCACCATATCTCTCTCCGATCTATTTAATTATTATTTCTTATTTATCCATACACACACATTCCATATTTCATTTATTTACATTTTACATATATTTGATTTTACATTAATTTATTTTCATTGATCTTCTTTTTCATTCAATCGATCGATCTATCTATCTATCCTATTCTGATTGTTTTCCTTTTCCATGTATAACTCGCGTATCCATTTGTATTGCGTATGTACGAATGGTTCGTAAGGTACACAACCTGTATCATCTTTCGTACGTATTAACGAATCTAGAAGAAAGCGGGAAATTCGATTTTCGTCACGCGATTTGTACATGTGCGACCTGGAGGAAATAGGACGTTCGATTTAACAAAAATACGCCCTGTGAAATCTACATATACATATATGCATATATATATATATATATATATATTGTATACATATATATATCTATATATATCGCCGTCGATAGAGTGACATTCGTGATTGATTTATTTAAGTTTTATTTTGTTGTTTGAATTATATGTTTCGTTTTATTACGGCTATTTGCGAAAAGTTCTTCGACGTTTAAAGAGAACAAAAAAAAAAAGAAAAGAAGAAAATCATCCACGTGTGAGGAGGATCACTACTCTCCTCCCACCTCCAGCATCAAGTTAAGGAAAATCGTTTTTTTTTCCCGGTGATATTATGGCGCAAACTTACAATCAGAAGAAAAACGTTTACAGCATCGATCAGATCTTGGGCCATGCCAAAGACGAAGGTACAATTTTTTTTCTTTCCTTTTAATACTTTCTTTTTTTTTTTCTTCCTTACTTTTGTTTCTTCGCGATTGATTTTTGAGTATTTCATTCTAGCATGAGATCCATTTTGATTTGACGCGTTTCGATTTTATTTTTCTAATTGTAAGAGGAAATATTTTTCATTTATTCGTATAAAAAAAAAAAAAAAAAGAAAAAAAAAAAACAAAAACAAAAATTATTTAATTGTTATTGTACAAATGTTATCGCGCATCTAATCAATTCATTATCGTAAAGGTAAATTTACTTTGATGGAGTATGATGATGAACGTGGTGTAATCGAGTATTCCCGTAGAGTCACGTGATCGGCCCGAGTGCGAACCCCATTTAAACGGAAGGAGCAAGTAGGAAGGATCGATAGATCAATCGGCGATCTAATGGTATCGCGTTAGTTTCTCACGCAAGTTACATCGACAATAAAGCTATCTTCGAAGTGCACACACGCATGTTACCAAAGCTTTAATTGTTGGTGGTCATTGTGTAAAAAAATAAAAATAAAAAAGAAAAGGGTACCGACGGTAACGTAATTAGGTCGTCGTTGTTATGCGAATCTTTGGTTAGGATCTAGGTATTTATTTATATGCCTATGCAATGTGTGGATTTATAAAATGCGTTACGTCACGCGAACATTTCTTTTTTTTTTCCCCAAAGTCAAAAGAAACATTATTGTAAATTACTATTATTATTTAAAAAATTACCAACTGTGTAGTATGATCACGTGTGCGTAGGTGTATGTATGTGTGTGTGTGTGTGTAAGTGCGGAAATGTGGATTCGTTTTTTAGCCGAATAAATCGATCGGCCGAATCTATGGATCTTCAAGATTTGAAACATGTTCAATGGTTCTATTTTTCCTTTGGAATTTTTTGGATAGATAATTGTTAACCGATAATAATATTTTTATATGATTATATCGTAAGGATTATATTTAAATCCTTAAAAGAATTTGTTTTTGTTCTATGACAATTTCCTCGAAAAATTTGAAAATCCTTTAAGTTACCGATAACCTATTTTGGTTCTTCTTTTATTTACCCGTGAATCATCGTCTTTTGTAGCAACGAGCGTACAATTATGATTCTATAGAAAAGTTTCTATCGAATGGATATATTTCTCCACATAGGATAAATAAAATATTTTTTTTTCTATTTTTAAACCACAAAATGGATGATGTATTATTCTTTTTATTTATCCAAGAAAAATGTATTTTATTCGTAATAAAAAAAAATGAAATCATGCGGACATTGAATAGATTAATAAGAAATTTTGTTAACAAAATCGTATACCTACATACCTAGTAGTTCAAATAAGATAACAAGGAATTAAAATTTGAAAGAAAAGTATCATTTGGAGGAAACGTGGTTAGATCGGTGTTAACAGGTAATTATGGTGTTAATGAGCTTCTCTATACTTCTCTCTATCCTTCTCTTTCTCTCTACGTTTCTGTATCTCGGTGTAGCTTGATGTTCGACTTCCGGGACGCGTTATCAATGTCCATTGAACGTAGGCTCAATGGATATTAGTTCTGCTCGATTGTGGTAGAAATCGCGGTGACGTTGCGGATCTCACCTGTACTGCTATCCGTTGTAATTAAAGCAGTTGCCAACGTCGATGTCCATCGTTGCATGATCCCACCAACCTACGAATATATTAGTGGGTTTGACCGTAGGTGTTTGTGTGAAGTTGAACGTAAGCGTGAGGTCGAGTAAATGTATGGGTATGCATGAGTGTGTGTGTGTGTGTGTAGCGTGTAAAGACCATGTGTATAAGTGAAGTTGACCATCGAGTTTGTTGTAATCAACTTTTCTTTTATTTCGTTCAATGTACGTAAATCATGGGGGGGGGGGTTAAACACATTTCAAATGATTTAGAATCGAAGATGTTCTTTTACACGTACTTATGTGTATTTGTGTAGATAGTTACTAAACTCTAATAAAGTACACGTTCTCTTCAAATATTCATCATTTACATATGGAATCGCAATGCGCGGATCGTTTAATTCGTTTAAATATAAATTTAATGGATACCTCGATCGGAGTCACAAATTACAAATTACGCTTGTAATTACATCGAGGTTTGAGAATTTTCTATGAACGTGTTACATATACTATATACAAATATTAAATGTCATAAGAGGAAAGGTTTAAACACAAACGCGTGTTCGTGCTTTATAAACGTTTGTTATTATACTTTTTATTCTCTTTCCCCGTAATATTGAATTAGCAGCTAAACGACGTTTATTTTCAACTTTGATCATTTAATTCAACGTGTTGGTAATTAATCATTAAACATGATTTAGATATATAATTGGAAAAATATTTATATAAATAAGTATTATAATAAAAAAAAAAAAAAAAAAAAAAATTATATTTTATTTTGTTTATTATTGTTATTAATATTATTATTTTATTTTACTCGTAAATATTTATAGTGAAAAAATTATTTCATGTATTTTTTTCCTTTCTTTTTCAAGGATTGATACAAAGATTGACATGAGCCATGTGGCCACTTTCCATGGTAAATAAATTTTTTATTCAGCGGAATGATCGATCCTCCCTCTCTTTCTCCTTTTTTTTTCTTTTTTTGGTCTATGTACTCCCTTTTTACTTGAATCCACCCCTACCACGATAGTTTGTGGTAGGGCCGTAAATTTAATAGAAAGCAATAGAGAGCTAGGCATCAAGTGGGTACCCCATTGTGCTCTAGCATAAAAACATTAAAATCTCTCTATTCAACTTGGATTAGCCTCACGGTGTTTGTTACGAACATGTGAGTGCGATTACATCGGACGTGTGTGTTGAAACGTGCGTGTGGTGCTATCTTTCTGTCTCTCTCTCTCTCTTTCTATCTCTCTCTTTCTCTTACTGTGTTTGTCCTTGTCTTACTTCTACCATTTCTCGTACGCTTACGCGTGGTGCACATGCACACCAATTCTAGATCCGACTCATCGCAAGCTATTTAAACTGTTGGCTACGGCGGCATCGAAAAGAAGGATTAGCATTATTATTCCTGAGTAATAAATACCCTAATTTGTTCATCAGAAAGATAGTTAGACGGCGGAAGCGGAAAAGAGTTTTACTCATTAACCGGTTCTTTGAATTTTCGATGCTTACAAAAAAGAAGAAAAAAAAAAAAAAAAGAAACAAGGAAAGAAGAAAAATAAATAAATAGAAATACAAAAATTCAAACGAGAAAAAACCTTTTTATCGAAGATATTTATAGAATTTTTATCGGTTATGTATCGATACCACATACGATATGTTAAAAGACGTATTTTCTAGTTTTTCATTTTAGAAAAAACATTAAAAACGAAAATATTGGAAGGAAGATATTTTTTCTAATTTTCAAACGTTTATATAAACGGCACATAAGCTCGATCATTATGTCAGATTTCGATNTTTTAGAAAAAACATTAAAAACGAAAATATTGGAAGGAAGTTTTTTTTTTTTTTTTTTTTTTGTGAGTGGCACATAAGCTCGATCATTATGTCAGATTTCGATCTATCGTGGTCTTCGATATCGCACGATTTTAATAACATATTATAACAAATATATTATACGTGTATACGTTTAACAATGATGGTACCTAGAATTTTCATAAAACGTTATGATTCGTTAATTTCCCAAGTCTTATCGGTGATTCTCGATAACAAGGCGATTCGCTTATCGAGTTAAAGCCACCGATAATTCATAATAAACGTCGTGGAAAGCGTGCCAGGGTAATATCCGTGATAATGGTCGATGTCGTAAAGAGGGTTGAAAGCGAATTAACGTGGTATGTAAGGTATACGCCTTGAAAAAAAAAATTACTTACGAGGAGGGAGGGTCGACGTCAAAGTAATAATAAGAATAATAATGTGCGTCAATTAATCATCTCGTACGAGAAAGAAGTTTAGCATCTGTATTTTTTTTTTTTTCCTTTTTTTTTTATTAATCATTTTATTATTTCAAACACACACGAGTCGACCTCAATGAATTTCTTTTTGTTCTTTCCACTGTTTTTATGTTAAATTAAAAGTAGCACAATTCATCGATCATCATTTTAATGTCTCGTAAGAAAGATAGAAAAAAAGAAGAAACAAAAAAAAAAGAGAAAGATATGAGAGAGGTCATGCGCGTACAACAATAAATAATTTACGAATATATATATACACACTTGTATACGGATCTGGAAAGATCTTCGGGAAGATCAAAAGAAGTTGGAAGCCGATTAATCGGCACCCCTTTAATTCCTATCTCGCAAATACGTGTAGATCCGTGTTCGTAACGATTCGACACCCTCGAACTCGATTCTCTGAGTATAGTTGAGGAGGTAGCATGTGTGCTCATACGACTTCTCGCCTACTCGGTAGCAAGTGGAAGGAAAGGGAATTCTACCTATAGGTTATATGCGTGTAGTTTGCCCTAATGGGGTTTTAAACTCTTGTCGTTGCGCTCGTGGAAGGATAGAAAGCATCAGAAAGAGAGAGAGAGAGAGAGAAAGAAAGAGAAAGAAAATGGAAGAGAGATGAAGAATGCAAAATGCGAGAGTAAAAGAGAGAAAGAGAGAGAGAGAGAGAGAGAGAAGGATGGGTCGTAGGACCTGATAGAAACGGCCGTTTGTAACGGGGTGCGAGGGTGTAACGAAGGCCGTGGGGTGCGTCGTGTTCTCTCGATATTTACTAATCACTGACAGCAACGATTTTTAAGTACTGACGCGGTACATATAGAAATAATCTCTATGCATATATCGATCCCTCGTTTCGTTCGCAAAAGTGTACGCGTATGTCTCTCTCTCTCTCTCTCTCTCTCTCTCTCTCTCTCTCTCTCTCTCTTTGTTTCTCACTCTTTCTATTTTTCTCTTTCTCTTGTCCATATTCGATCCCTCCGTGCGTATGCTCTCATATATATATATATCTATCTATCTATATATATGCATACATATATACATATATACATATCTATCTATATATATATACATATATATATAAAAAGTACGGATATAAAAAAATGAAGCAGCAAACGAGGCTTAAAAATTGGCAAATCCGCCGATCGGACGTCATCGAGCGTATCGAATATATCGGGACCGGTCGCTGGCTGGTGCGGCTTAAAAATGAAATTGCGCCCGCACCATCCCCTCTCCGCGTTTCTATTTCATCGTATATCAACGAAACGTCAATTTCGTTTTGGTAGCGTGGACGATTTTGCTTAATCGCCTCCATCCTCTCTCTTTCTCTCTCTCTCTCTCTCCCCCTCTCTCTCTTTTGCCCTCTCTCTCATATTCGATGCTTCAAGTATCGAAGGCTTTTCATCATTTGATATATCACCCCTTTTTACTCTTTTCTAACCCTCGTTTGAACGTAGGTACCCCGACACGAGCGCGGCCCTTCAAATAAAAATTTTTTTTTACGGTGGTGGCACGTAAGGTGTCATCAATGAGTTCTCTAACGCGTAATTTTGATTTCTTCTTATTTTCTTCTGTGTGTTTCTTTTCCTTCTTCTTTTTCTTCTTCTCCTTGATATTTAAAAACCGTTCTTTGGATATTTTTGCATGCTGGTTGCAGATCATGCGACGTCGTCCGATACAGTTGGCGATAACGGTGACACCGAGCTGGGACATCTTAGCGATCATCAAATGAGCGACGGGCTTCACGACTCGTTGAATCTCGGTGAATCAGACAGACCGAGGAAGGTTCGAAGGTCGAGGACAACATTCACGACTTATCAACTACACGAGCTTGAAAATGCTTTTGGGAAGACGCAATATCCGGATGTTTTCACAAGAGAGGAACTGGCGATGCGTTTGGACCTGTCAGAAGCTCGAGTTCAGGTGAGAAAGGTAGAAAGAAAGAGAGAAAGAGAGAGAGAGAGAGAGAGAGAGAGATAGACAGACAGATAAAAACAGAAAGAAAGAGAGAAACAGATTGAGCGAGAACAAGAAAGAACGAAGAAAAATGAAAAAATTACAAAAAGGCACAAGCGCAAAAGATTAAAAAAACATTAATATTATTTTTTGACTCTCTCGTTGCCCTTTTTGCGCGGGAGTGCGTGTGTGTGTTTTTTTGCCGGACAATTTAGATGAATAAATTTCATTTGGTTCTACTTCGCTACAACTTTGATAAGACGTCGAAGAAGATTGGACACTCGATACATTTGAAGCATTACCGATCATTCATCCCCCTGTATAATATCCGACAAGCTACCTAGTTACAAGCTCATCGTTCAACTAGTATACAGATATATCCGTAGAAGCACACATTTAAGTTAGGAACCTTTATGGCGAGTACACGTTAGGGTGCCACTCAACTAATTACACGCCATTGTCCTCAAAATCTGCTGTCTCGCTTATCCTCCTCATTTTCTTCTTATTCTTTTTTTTTTATTCGACAATTGCTATCTCGCGTTAGTTGAAAGAGAACAAAATATTTGTATAGAATTTAATTGTTAATAAAGATACAGTCAACAGACAAGATTCTAAAAATATCTCGACTATTAAAGATAACTCCACTTTGAACGCAGAGAAATATAGAATGATAAATAAATAAAAAATACAAAAAAAATGGAAAGAAAAAAAAGAGAAAAAACTTATGAATCAGTCTATTCATAGAAAGCATTCAACCAATCGGGTGAATATTTGATAATGTCTACATTTTTCAACGTCTCTTGGAATCGATTCGTCCTAGCTCGAGTATCGGCCGCTTTTTCATGAACGGAAATCGGTTACTCGATTAGCTCGACTATTCCGACACCCTTACACACGTCGCGGAGAAGTAGTCAGTGAGAAGGAGAGGAAGACGAAAGAGGGAAAAGAGGAAGGGGGAAGGGGTCCGGGGGGCACAGGGTGGGTAGAGGGGGTTGAAGAGAATCGAGAGATGTGCAACGAAGAGTGAGAGCACGGTGTACGATGGAAAGCGAGAGAGAAAGAGAGAGAGAGAGAGAGGGTTGGATGGGAACCGTCGTCGAAGGGTGGCGCGGAGCTGAAAAGAGACAGAGAGCATTCCGATTGGCCCATTGTGGTACAGCCAAGCGACAATGCCAGCAATTGGCCGTCGCTCGACAAAACCGCTAAATGATCCGCCGCGGCGCAGTGGTGCCACGGCCACTTTATTTCAATCTAGGAAATCCTGCGCTCCGACTACACCCCCCCCTCTCCCCATCCCTCCCTCTCCACCCACTGCGTTCATCCCCCGTTTATCCGCGCTTCTCCCTCTACCTTCCTCCCTCTTCGTCACTGTCTCCTACCCCTCATTTCGTCCACCTACCACGCGTATCCTATCCTCCTACAACAGCCGAATCTATCTCTTTTCCTATCTATCTATCTCTAGCTAGCCTAGCTAGCTAGCTACCGGTACAGCTGTCACCATCACCATCACCACCACCACCATCGACGTTACCACCGTTGCGCGTCGATTCTGGATGCAAAATTACCCCATTTTTCGGTATTAACGTCTCGTCGAATGTATGTATCGTTCTGGGAGATCGACCTGTAGAAATCGTAGTACACGACAGCCTGATGGTGGTGGTCGTCGTCGTCGTCGTCGTCGTCGTAATGGGAAATCGTTCGTTTCTCTTCTTTCCAATTCGCGAGTTCTTTTTCTTTTTTTAATTATATTCTGGTATATATTTCTTTTTCTTGTTTTTACCCTGATTTTGTATTATTGTCTGTTTATTTGTTTGTTTGTTTGTTCGTTCGTTCGTTTTATCTTTTTTCCCGCTTCGAACTCTTTTTTTTTCCTCGACAGGCCAGTCGAACGTTTATTTATATTTGCGTTGTTTTTTCTTTGTTTTATTACTTTTGAAGTTTTTTTTCATTAGAAAAATTTGCCCACGCTTTTCGAGACAGCGTTGAAAAGATTTGAATTTGATTCTATTTGAAAATATTCTTGTGTACTTTATTCGTAATGGTTTAAGCAACAGCAGCAGAAGCAGCAGTAGTAGTAGTAGTAACACGTTGCTGCCGGCGGCTACAAGGGTAACGTCGTCGTCGTCGTTTTCGTCGTCGTCGTCGTCGTCGTCGTCGTCGTCGTCGTTGTTGTCGTCGTCAGAGTGAAAGTTTTCGAGACGAGCCGGCGATTTAAACTTTCGAGTTGACGGTGGGTCGGTTAAACGACGCGCTGCAAGGTTTGCGAGCACTTAGGCGTTAGAGGGTATTCAGGAGCGATTAAATAATTAACAGCAATTAGGCAATTGAATTTCCTGTCCCGACCTCTCCCGACGTATCCCCTCCCTTCTCTCTCTGTCTCTTTCTCTCTCTCTCTGTCTCTTTCTCTCTTGATTCTTGATGTCGACCTTACCCTCTACCTCTTGTCTACCTTTCCTCGCTGGTAAGCACTTTCTCTTTTCTCCGATGACAAACTTTTGCTTTCAACTATTTTCTATTGATCTGAAAAATTTAATTTCAAATTGTTCATAATATTAATAAAAATAATAATTTTTCTTCGATACGTAAATGCCATTGCAAAATTATATTTTGAGCCAATGAATATTAGGGTTGTTCTATAAATTCGTATAATTTTTTGTCTCTAAATAAATAAACAGCAAATGGATAAACAGCAAATTGGATAACCTAATATTAGAATTTACAAGAAATTTTCTTTAAATAAACTTTTGGCATATTGGCAATAAAAATAATAATATTAATATAAATTTTGGTTTAAAATCTTTTAAAAACGTCTTGCATATAATATGAATGAGAACGTTAATCGTTCGTTAACGATGTTAAATGTTTCCTAAGAGGGGTGAGAGAGAAGGGACTGTGTCCATGTATTCGGAAAGCGATATTCGCTTGCTATTACCCTGGTTGGTAGAACAGTGTCGGTCTGAAAGGCAGCATTTTGAATTTCCGTGGCACACAATGGATGCAGCATGTAAAACGTATACACCCAGGCATACATACATACATACATACATACATACATATACACTTATACATGTATAAAAATAGAAAGAGAAAGAGAAGGTTGAACGACGATGCTGTCGTTGGTGGTTCTGTTGGTGCCATTGGTGGTACTGGTACTGGTGTACTGGTGCTTTAGCTAGTATGGCTGCTATTGCTGCCGGGGTCTCTGACGATGCCCACGAAAAATCCTACCGAACAACTCGAGCGGAAAGCGAAAGCATTTATACGGCAACGGGTGCAACGGGAGGGACAAAGAGAAAGAGAAAGATAAAGAGAGAACGAGAGAGAGAGGGCAGGGGTTGCTGCTACCACTCGGGGGTCCGGAGGAAATCAGGATAATTGTTAACAATTAGCTTAATCAACCTCGAGAGCCGAGCTTTTGTTGGGTGCTCTGATACGCGCGGCCGAAGGTTCTCATACGTTCTTGCCAGTTTAGTTTTATCTTTCTTTCTTTCTTTATTTCTTTTTTTTTCTTCTATTTTTTTTTCTTCTTTCTTTCTTTCGTTCTTTTTTCCTTTTGAAAAAATAGAGAGAAAAAGGATTACTACTTATTAAAGAAAGATCTACTCTTTCTCTCGCTTCGGGATGCGATTTAATTGTTGAAAATTACATAGCGAGTACGAACAAATTCTAGTATCTCCTATTGACTACTAATACCTCGAATTTCTATTTCCAGTTATTTTCTTCTTTTCTTTTTTTTCTTTGTTTTTTTTCATTCTTAAGAGAAAGAGAGATTGCGAGGAGAATTAAATATACTTGTCGAGAGAGTATTAAATTTAGAAAAAATATTCTCCTCCTGATTTAATGAGAAAAGGATAAAGTTGAGCTTAAGATCGATATTTCTTTTTTCCTTTTTTTTCTTCGCTCTATCTCTATCTCTCTTTCTCTCTCTTTCTCTCTTTATTTATTTTATTATTTTTTTTTTTACTCTTAATGAGAGAATTACGAGAGAATACCTTTAAATGCCTTTCTACGAATTCCTTTTAAAATTCTTGCTAATGAATTAACGAAAAACTCTGCTAAAGAAAAAAAGGAAACAAAAAAAACAGAACAAGGGGAAGGAGATAATAAAATAAACGAGTTTTAAATGATACTAATATCAAATTTAGTATAATATAAAACACGAATTAAATTCATTTGTTCTTTCGTTAGTTTTAAAAGTTAATTAATTTATTGGATAAATTATCTATTACCATAATATATCCGTTTCTTTTTTTCGTAGGTATGGTTCCAAAATCGTCGAGCCAAATGGCGTAAGAAAGAAAAAGCTCTTGGAAGGGACACGAGCTTTATGCACGTCGAGCAGGGAGGTTAGTCGTCTCGATAATTAATTCATTACATTTTCTTAAACCCCATACCACCATCACCACCACCACCACCGCCCGGTGCTTTGATTTTTATCCTTTTTGTTGTTTTTTTTCTTTCTTTTTTTATCGCGAAGAGAAATTGTATCGCACCGAGAAAATAATTAATTTTCTACACGACGGTAATTAAATTTCCTCTATCCGATAAATTCTTGAAAAAGGGGTCGTAATAAGGAAAGGTATTTCTCTAAGAACAAGGTCAATTCTTTTCACGAGACAAAATTATTCTATTTAATCTAAAAATTGATTTAGTAGAGAAGTCTTACCTTCTATTTTTTTATCTTTATTTTTATTTTTTTTTTTTTCCTTCGACTCGTATAAATAAAAATGCATTAGTATTTAACTGTGGGACGATATTGGAGTTTTATACTCGAACGAGTCGTGCGGGTTATTACGATTATTGTGTGTGTGTGTGTGTGTGTAAGTAAAAGAGAGAAAGAGAGAGAGGGAGGGTGAACATAGTCAAAAGGGTAGATGCAATCGGTAATAATTACATATAATTTCAGTGTCCCTCTCAGTATGCGTCGACCGTTGCGTGGAATCCGATCTGCAAGACGGTCGACGTTCGACGGAAGTAAAGGTCCGTTAATTTTTCATAAAACTAATAATATTTCTCTGCATTTGTCATAGAAGCGCGGTAGGGGGTTGAGGGACTAGATCCGAGAAGTTCAAAGTAAAGAAAAAAAAAAAAAGAAAGAAAAAAGTAATTGGAATAAAAGCAACGATTAATAGTTTATTGATTTAAAAATATTCCACCTTAAGAAAAGTCCTCTTTCTTAAAAAATAAATCCTCCCAAACAAAACAGAAAAAAAAAGAAAAGAAAAAAGAAAGAAAACGTTGTTTTACCGTGTGATTGCAGGTGTGAACGAGTTGTCGCTGCACGCACGGTTACTCCAATCGGCCGGTGGTGTACCAGGTGCGGATCCATCGGGTCCACCAAGCGGAGCCTTCCCGTGGTTCATACCACCGGTATTTCCACCCCCTTGGCCAGCTAGCGCACCAAAATTACCACCGTTGCACGCGATTCTTTCGCAGTATATTGGTTTACCATTACCGCAAAACTTGGCGTCCTTAAGCACGGTCCTACCGGTTGGTCTAAATCCAGCAGCGTCTTCATTAAATCACAACAACGTTAATGGCCATACATTGGGGAATCATTTGCATGGACACCCGTTGAATCTTGGTGTCCAAAATTTGCCGCAAAATTTGAGCTCGAAGCACGAGAAGGAAGACGACTCGTCGTCGGAAGACGAAATCAGAAGACAAAGCGCCGAGGTTCTCAGAGTTAAGGCTGAAGAGATTATACGTAAAGCGGATAATTAATAAGCGAATTCAAATGAGGATCATCGGTTTGTTCTTTGATTATTTGTTTCATTTTGGTGATTGTTATTGAAATAAATTCAATGGACTTGGTGGTAATCAAACGAAACCAAACAAAACAAAACTAATTGCTGTGATTAGCTGGAACCATAATAAGTCCAAGATGAGGTCACGAAGAAAAATAAAAAATGGGAATGATAATACTATTTCCACATGGACAATCCGTAACATACATAATATGCATGCATACGTAGTATCACTACTGCTACTTCTACTACTACTACTACTACTACTGCGTGTACTTTAATGTCGGCATTGACTTACAACGCAATCAAGTAAGCCGTCGTTGATGTTCGCCTCACCGTCGTAGTCCTTTTGCATATGTCGATATCATAAAGATGTAGTCGATATCGCGTGCATGCAAGACTCGCGCTCGGTGTCGCGTTTATTGGGACACACGTATGTATGTATTTACAAAGTGTAAATGTAAACACGTAGAAAAAGAGAGAGAGGGAAAACACGCGATTCGCTCTTAGAACTAACTATGCGTCGTTTATGCATAGAAACCGAACGAGAACCGATAGTTTAAAAAAGTAAACGAAAAGAAATAAGAAGAAGAAGAAGAAGAAGAAGAAGAAGAAGAAGAAGAGAATGCTTGAAATAACAACAAATTTTGTGGGCGGATCGGAGGAGTCCGTTAATTTTGTAAAATTACACACCTGTGTGATAATACGTAGTACAGGTGTAACTCGAAAACAGTGATGATTATGATTACGACGATGATGATTACGATGATAACGATGGTGGTGATGATAATGATGGTTTTCTTTATGTAAATATGTAGGTAACCGATTATGTTAAAAAATATATGAGAACAGATAATATCAAAAAGCGATGTATCTCTACTCTCTACCTTTCTTTTTTCTTCTTTTTTTTTTTTTTTTTTATAACATCGTTTATACTTCCTTCGTGTCACAAGCAGGAAAATAATCACCATTTGTTTCTTTCCCTTTAACCAATTGTCGTCTCTCCTATGAGGATTACATGCCATATCCTACTGGGAAACAAAGAAAAAAGAAATAGGAAAAAAAGACACAAGAAAACACATCAAGTACAACAAACTAAAACACACATCTATCGACTTCGAAATCGGATCGTCGAAAGATTATAACTTTTGAAAGTAAGTGATAGGCGAGGAATGGAAGGGGGAGTGGGTTGTAGGTCGGTCGTACAAATGTTTCCAAACGATACTTTCATTTTCTTATGTGATTTTCTCGTTTAGAAAAAAATGCGTCCAGGACAAAATAGCTTTCGAGTCATTAATCATAGTAGGATTTTATAGCCAGGCTCGTTTCGGCCCCGTCATTACGGCAATTTCCTGAATTCCGGATTGTCCCCACGATTTACACGAACGGTATGGTGACAAGGAGTGAAAAGGGAGTGGAGGACGGTTCACATACGTTTGTGCACGAGGACCACGTTCCCACGAGTCTTCGTGTAAACGTCGTTGGTGGTGTCGTTCGATCGTGTTGTTCCCCTATTTCCCTCCCTCCCCCCTTTGTCACTCTTTTTCCCTTTCTCTCTCTCTCTCTCTCTCTCAGTTAAATAGCGAGGGTGGAAAAAAGAGAGGACAGGGGAAGGAACGGGACGATCCAAAAGAACGAACGAAGCTCATCCAGGTTTATACCGGTAACACGCACAATGGCAATTACAATCGGGCCAATTTATTCGCGTTATCGGAAATTTATCTGTCGTAACGACGACCAACGGCTGGCTTCGCGCTTCTCGCGTCCCGTGAATTAACTTTATCGCTGGTACGAGTCGGGTTCGAAGCGTATGTACACCGCGTGAGCTCGGCAACCGATTATTGCACCACTACTACTACTACTACTACTACTACTACTACTACTACTACTACTACTACTACTACTACTACCACTATTGCGACTAGTAGTAGTTGGACTAGTAGGGACATCATCAACACCATCGCAATCGACGTTGGACGACACCTGCACGTTGCTCATAGGACAATCATCATCGTGTTGTATTATCTTTCACAAGATCGAGCTATACGATAAGACCGGTAAGTTTCGATAGAGAAAAAAGAAAAAAGAAAGGAAACCGATGAACTTCCCTTCTTTTTTTTTCTTTTCGTCGTATCAAATATATACGTTTTTCCTTATTTTTCTTATTACGTTTTTGAATATGGTGTCAATCAAACGGAATGATACTTTCCATTTGTTTGACAAATTTTGCCAACCCATTTTGATGTATACATGTGTATACACGTAATACACATTCCAACATATTCGCGAATAAGAGAATAGACTTAAGCTTCCCTTTCCTGAGCTAACGTCTACACTTTTGTACACTTTTAGCTCAACAATCGTGTCGCATAATACTGTAAAGTTCTGCTAAATGGAACCACTAGAAGGAGAAAAGAAACGCTCCTCCCGTCCACTTCGGCTTTTCGGTCACATTTACTCGTAAGCTTACTTCGCTTACTCGTTTTACATCCATTCGACATTTAACAAATTCCTTTTAAACAATCGATCTGTTCATTTGACGGTAGTGGAAGATCCTATCGTTAAAAATGTATTTCGAATACAAAGCATTTCAATTTGAACCATGCATATATACATATAAATCTTTCTCTCTCTCTCCCTCTCTCTCTCTCTCTCTCTCTCTCTCTCTCTTTCTTTTTCTATCGCTAATCGAGAAACACTTTCTCATTCGTTCCACTCTTCTCTCTTTTTGTTTCCTTCCTTCCTTCCTTTTCTTTGTTTCACTCTTCATCTTTCTCTCTCTTTCTCTCTTTTCTTTTTTTTTCCACGGGCGACGTAGTTTTCGGAGTAGACAAGGGATCAGCGTTGAATACCACTGATCGCGATCGCAACGGCTACCAAGGACAATTAGATTAAAAGCAGCGCCTCTCGCGGCGGCTTGAGATCCATTAGTGCCCATTGTACCACCCCATTTGCACCCCCGTCACCACCACCACCACCACCACCACCACCACCACCTTCGTGTGCCGTTACTCCATTCCTCCTTATACGCCGAGTGCAGCCCCTATCTCGAAGCCAGGTACTTATTCTCAATAGTAATATGCTCACTTCACTCTTCCACCTCTCTCTTTCTCACTCACTCGTCCTTCGACACTTCTCTTTCTATCTATCTCTCTCTCTCTCTCTCTCTCTCTCTCTCTCTCTTTTACTCTGCGCACGTTCTGCCCTCGAGAAACGGAAAGTCGCGAGAAGTGGCGAATGAGCGGTCTGAAAAGATTTCTCTTGCTACTGCTACTGCTACTGGGTACTGCTACTGCTTCTGTTGGTGTTGGTACTTTAGTGGTGTTGCGAGAAAATCACTAGGAGTTGATACACAACTACTGACAACGACGACGACGACGACGACGATGTTGAACGACGAACCGACGTTAATGACACCCTGAATGACATCAATTAGTCCATCCGCGGCAATAAACCTCTCCCTCGTTCGTGTTGGAAAACGCGTCTTTCTTTCTTCTACGATGAGACGATGAGGAATAAGAGGAACAGTTGCTGAAGGAGGAGGAGGAGGAGGAGGAAGAGGAGGGGATGATGGTGGGAGGTAGATGAGAACGAGGAGGAAGAGTACGACGATGCGAATGAATAAGCACACGACGTTACGACCACCGCGAGAAAATTATCCAACGTTGCTAATGGTATTTATTATGCCGGCGATTGCCAAGGGAAAGGTGCTCTCTAAGAGAGCCCGATTAGTTTCCACACATCTTTTCCTACAATCTTACATACATACGCACACACATATCACAGATACATGCCTCTTTTCTTTTCTCTTTCTTTACTTTCTTTTCTTTTATTTAAATTTCGTTCTAATCATTTTTATCAATTATTTTCTTCTCTTCCTACTGTACACAATAAGTCCAATGAATAATTTTTTTATTTGTTTTCATTTTGTTATCAACGTCGAATTAATAGCAACATTTTGGGAATAGAAATGTCTAACTGTTTACAATTTGATTGTAAATTAAGGATCAATCGAATATTTCAAGAGTTTGATAAAATTAATAAGAAATAAATATAATAGAAAAATTTGGTATAATTTTCAAATTGATTTCAAGGGTTAGTCGAATAGATTCATGTTTATTAGGATTCAATAACGAACAAAATTGCATTATTTTATAATATGTTTAAAATATTGAAAAAGAATATAAAATAAAACAACCGATTTATAATTTTTTTTTTTCCCCCGACGAAATGTTCTATATTTTTGCGTGTTTATTATATAGATATTTTATTGAATTATTGTATATTATTTAACGTGCCTAATTAAAAATAATCAATAACATTATTATATCTTCATATGAATTTTACGTCATTAGTATTACTGATTTTGTCTTCATAACATAATTCGCAATATAATATCTAATATATACGTACACATTTAAACGTATAAATGTATGAAGAACATAACATAAAATAAAGTAGAATTTAATTGGAACAATTATTAGCAAGTAGTAATTCGTTCAACAATTTGATATTCTATTATGTAAAGAGAAAAAGAGATAGAAAGTTAATGAGTGATTGAGAGAGATAGATAGAAATAGAGAGAAAAGGAAAGAGAGAGAGAGAGAGAAAGAGAGAATACAGACACGAGTACGGGATATTAATGCTGCAATTGTATATACACACATACACACACACACACACACACTATATAACTTTGAGTGGCCCTTTAACGGATGAACATTATGTCTGTGTAATAATAATTGCCTCGGTAGTTGGGATTTTATTCGTGGAAGCACTTCGTTCGTTCACGAAAAACCAGCGAGAAGATAAATATCTCTTTGAGTTTAGAATTAATAAAACGCCAACGGACGTTTTTCTTTGCTCGTTCGCGTACACCGGGGTTATCCACCCTGTATTCCACTTTCTCTCTTTAACTCCAATTCCTATTCTCGCTTTCGTAGGTTCTAGATATAACACTCGAGGTTTATCGTCAAAAAAGCAAGAAAATACGGAAGAAAACATAAAAAAAAAAAAAATATATATGAAAAATATACAAAACTACGACAAACACTCCAAATTATTCCAATTTTGTTTTCTTTTTACGAGCCCTCCTCACAAAATTCTTCTATCGCGTCTCGAAGGACAAATTTGGTTTTTTTCGTGTGGAAAAGGAAACGAAGGACGATAAAGGGATCTCCTGTTGTGATTTTCGTAGATATTTTTTTATGCAAGAGCGAGAGACCGCGTTTGTTCCTATTTTATTTTTTCTTTTTCTTTTTCTTTTTCTTTCTTTTTTTTAATTTTATTTTCAGAACTCTCGAGTGTTCACACGTTGTGAAGCTGAGTGTAAGGTTATGCTTAAAAATTAGTGTCGTTATGACGCCGCTCTTTAACTCCGTATACACGAGCAATGCACACTTCATTAAGGCTATTAGAAAGCATCTGGGCATTCAGGATGCACAGCATGGCGAGAGTAGCACCGGTCCTGAACCGATCTTGATTCTCTCTCTTTCTCTCTCTCTCTCTCTCTTTTTTTTTCCCCCTTCTATTCCCATCGTCACGTTTTCGTGTCCTTTCACTCTCTCCCAGACGGGCCGACGGACTGAATGATTCCTTTTTCTCCTATATTCTTACTATCATTTCTATTTCGTTCCCATCCGAATAGATTTACTTTGGTATTTTTAAGAAAAATTTGATATACGGTTTACGAAGTCAAGTGATAAAGGTTTTAAATGATATTTATTAGGTTATTATTTAATTATTTTTCGACAACATTTTGTATAAAATGTGAGAATGTAAAAGTAATTGATAAGGCTAATACCAAATTGTTAATACTTATGATAGAATATTATATAGTGATATTTTATTATAAATATATGTGCGATTAGGATGCAACTCTGGTCCCTGTTAAAAATATTAACAAATTATTATTTGTAATAATATAAACCACAAATACAAATAATCTACTTTTCTCTTAGCTTTCAAATTTTATTTCAATCATATTACATTTTTTACTCAATATAAATGAATAAAAATAAAAACGATGCAATATAATTATCTCTAATATCTTTTTTATATCCACAAAACTCATCTCACCGTTTGATTCTATATAGAAAAAAATAAAAAAAAAATAAAATAAAATCAAGTACTCTCGAGAGTAAGCAAATTCTTGATTGATAGATAGATACCCAGGTTTCAATAGAATCGTTGAAAAGATCAAAGCTCGCGGTGTGTTCTAATGGAGCTTGGAAAGAAGTCCCATTCACACTCGATCAATTTCGTCGAATGAAGCGATTTTCGTAAGGGATAAAGGATGCATCAAGGCATGTACGGTAGTAATGTAGAGTCGTACTTACATGGTACACACATCGGGGGGTTGGTTAGAAAACTCGACGGAATTTACTACGCAGAGAGACAGACAGACAAACAGACAGACACGGGGAAAGCTTCAATCTGTTTCGAGAAACGATAAATACGTTCTCTCGTCTCTCTCATCCATTTTCTTTTCCTTTTTTATTTTTTCACGACCAAGGTTCTCAGGATTTTGGTCCTCCTTCTCGTTTTGTCCTCCACCTTCTCACAAATATCCGAAAGGTTGATACTTTCATACGTACAGGTAATTAAAAAAAAAAAGAAAATAAAAAAACCCACGAAAGTATGTGTTAACGATGAGAATGATAGTATTATTATAGTGGTCTTAAGTATAGTCGATATAATACGATTTTACAATTTATACGATCCTAGGCCCCAGGGAAAATTCAGAAACATAGATAGGTGGTGTTACAGACATACACACACACACACACACACACTCACACAAGTACACAATTGTGTTTCTCCCGGAAAAACGTCGTAAATTAATCGTGCATTTAATTTCGTCCCGTTGGCGCAGCAATCTAATAAAGCGTGAGACACGAAAGGCTGTGGCTACACTTTGATAACACTCTTTTACCCTCTCTCTCTCTCTCTCTCATTCGTTCACTCTTACTCTCTTTTTTTATACTCGCCATCAGCATTACGTTACATTAAGCTGATTATCCCTATCTCTATCTTTCTTTATTTCTCTCCCTCCCTC